AGTTTTTCTATGTATTTGGAGGGTCCTTAGAAGGATATATCCCCAGATACCAATGTTCAAAACTGCTTTGGACACAGTCAAGGAAATGAAAAATCAGATAAATGTAAAGTGAAAGTGCAGTGTTTACAGAATGAAATCATATTTGTATGAAAAGTGACTTACAACCACTCCCAGCAGAGTGCTTGCTGAAAATAAATACAGAAACTTTCCAATAAAATGAAAAGCAATTCCAGGACTCGTATTAGTGAGGTCAAAACTCCGGATTGCATTGAAAAGCACCACTGATGTTGCATCGTTTACAACACCCTCCCCAAAAACCAGACTGTAGAGCAATGGAGTCTCATCCTGATTAAGAACCTGTACCATCAGAAGAAGTACCTTATGTTTAGTAAGTTTGATATACTAGTCGTTCAATTTAGAAATGCTACTACAATTTCGATTTATGTATACCTGCAGTGTGCAAACAGAATCTGTTGCAGCAAAGATTGCACCAATTGCTGCAAAATTGCAACAACAAAAAAAAAAATAGTAAGATGCATAAACATGAACCAAACCAGTTTGAAAAGGAAGGGGGAAATAAGGGAAATTACCTATAAAACCTCCCACATCCAATGAGCCAATATCCATTTCCTTAAAGAACTTAATAACACCTGTTTGAAGAATAAAAGATGCTATCACAACCACCAAATTAATCTCGAAAATATTAAGAAGTGCATCAACAAACCAATCCGACCCCTTACGATGCCACTTGGCTGCTAATCCCCACAGATCACCCGTAAAACAATAGATAAGTTGAAGGTATTGTATATCCATCAACATCTATAAAGTAGTAGAAATTACCTATAGATATTATTGTACAAGATATTAATGTACCAACAGCACCAAATAGCATGATGGTAATAAAGTTACGGAAAAATTGCTTCTTTTTCACCGAAAACCTGGCAAAGAAGTGATCAGAAAAGGCTTTAGGAAGGCAAATAATGAACTACGTGTAATCTTGTCTATTTTCCTACAAAAAGCATTCAATTAAAATTTAAACCTCAACATTGCAAGAAAGACACCTGTGTTCTTATATATACATTGTTGAAAACAAGAAGAAATTCTCAATGCACTCAAGTTCAAGCTAGCTGCATTACTTTGAATACTCTTTTTTTTCTAAAGCGTCTGTGTTATCCAGAAATGGCCATAGGGATGGCCTTCCAAAGATATTAGAAATGCATTAAAAGTCTTGGAAAAATTTGAGCATACCCACATGGACAGATATTTATATTCGAGACTCGTACTCAAATCCTGGCAAAATGACTTATAACCAGGGGAGAGAAAATTAGACAAAATAAAGTTTCTTGTTGAATAATTGTTGCATAGCCATCTATTTAAGCTTACAGAAGCTATAACTAACAATCTCCATATTTACCATTCACAAGAGAGAGAGAAAATAGAAACAGAACAAACTTACCCAGCATTGAATATTATAGGGGGAAGAAGATAAATAAAGAATAGATCTTCACTGAAGACTAAAAGACGTGAGCTTTTACCCCCACTCGCCAACAAGATAATGACCCCAGTAAGAAGACCCTGCCGTAAGATCATTAAATTCAAAATGTTCTAGGAAAAGTAGAACATGTAGTCCAAGCATAACCAAACTTAGCCTAATTGTTCAAAATAGAATAAATTCACATTTAAAAATGACAAACTCACAATGACAAGGGCAGTAATCGATTCATTCATCCATCGAGACTCCTCCAAAAGATGACCGATCACAATGGAAGTGCAAAGAAGCGCGACAAATAGGTTCATGGAGACCACAGAGGCGTGGTCTGAATGTAATGTTTGAAAGTTGGAAAAGACAGCAGCTAACTGAGATGCCACCATTTTGACCTCTTCTCTATCAACAGTTTATTGAAAACAATCAATTTATTCCAATTGAATGAAGTTATAGCTCAAAGCTTTAGATTTGAATTCTCCTTCAACATTGCATATCTTCAAAAACTTCCTGGCTTCCTTAAGAACTCGCATTTTACGGAAGAATCCAAAGAATTATACTCATTTCTTCGCGTATTCATTCTCGAAACCTACATTTTTCTCCCACTTTTCTTTCTTTATGTTTTTTTGTTTATCCGAACATTGAAAAGAAAAAGAAACTTATCGAAAGAACTATTAACAACAACATGATTGAAGACTGCATTTAAGTTTCACCATTTTACTACCGCTTTTTCTAATATCAGCAATCAAACGTCCAAAAACAAAATAACATAAAGCTTACCGAATCGTGGTGAATGGACAAGATCCTTTCAAATTTGTTTCTCTATTCACAAGTTATTTGTGATTTGAAAGAATCCAAAGTTTCACCTTTTCGAAAATTTCCTACATTAATCTTCCACCTTCCAATTTGCAACAAATCTCCCAAGAAATTTCCAGCTTCAAAAAAAAAATCGCGTTTTGATGCGTTGAAACTTGTTTGAAATTTTGTGTTTAGATTTAGAGAAATGGGATTGGAGCATTTTATTTTACGACAAGCCAAAGAGAAGGAAGGGCCGTGTTGCGCGGGCGATCATCTGAATACAAAGAACATGTATTAAAGGACGACCGATGACAAAATATTAAAACCTGAAATTAAATTAGGACCGTCCGATTTATGACGTCTCTGCAATAAAATAAATCACGTGGTCTAGACGATGGTTTGATATGAAACGAGTTATAAGACAAATAAGATTTGATGCAGTTGAATTTATAAAATTTTAAATAATAAAAATATATTACCAATAAAAATTATAAAAAAATTATTTAAATTATATGAAAATTTAAAATGTTTAGGTACGATTATCCCTCCTTTCCATATGTATAGGAATAGTTTTACAATTTTCTTTTCTTCTTCCTATAGGAATGGTAAAGTTTCAATGGGCCATAAGAACAAATCTGTAAGTGAAAAAGTAAAAGAGCAAGTTATTTCACTTCACACGACAACCACAAATAGGAGCGTAAATCAACATAGTTTTTGTTATTTCTTTTCGTAAATCGTTTGTGTAATATTTATTTATGTTCCTTTATTAAGTTAAATAAATGAATATGAGTAAAGTTTTTATGTTTATTTAATAAATTGAACGAACACAAATATATGTGTATCCGATTATTTATGTTCATGAGCACACTAGTTTGAAATATCATTTATCAACTCGCTTATAAGTTCGTTTATCCGAATCTTCTTTTTCCCTTTTTTTAACATTTTATTTATTGGTGAAGGTAATGACTAAATTAAACATAAGGTGAATTTTGAAGTTGAGAGTATCACGCCTAAGAAGCTTTAGGACTGGTGGCGGCATATTTTCCTCTTCTCTTGTGTTCCCCTGTTTGTGTCTAGAGATTATTATGTATTTATGCATAAAGAGAGAAGCTTAGCGGCCAAGAGTGGTAATGGTGTTGGACTGGTAGACATGCTTGTGATTTATGTTAGGAAGATGAATTTATAAAATTTTGATAGGATGAAAATCAATGGTGGATATATATAGAATTCAAGGTGGGCACGTGCTCATTCTGGAATCTTAATTTGTTTATGTTAATTGTTTATTTTACTTAAGGTATTCATCATGAAATTTTATTTGTGTCCGTTCTAAAAAATATTTATGAATTCGTCATTTGAAAATAGATTATCAATAAAATATATAATAATTTGTGATTGCATGGGGAGATGACATTCTAAGATTATATCTTATTTTATTCCCTAATATTTGGATAACATGAAATTCAATGCGTTTAAACAAACGAATACTATATTTCTCACTGTCTCTTTCAACTATAGTGGAGATAACTCTTCCCAATGATTGTTTGCAACCCATTTATATGTTTTTTTAGGTATTTGTTATATAAATCTCGACAATATGATACACTATTTAGTGTGAACTGCATGACATTTTTAAAAAATTGTGTCGGAACAATTAGAACATTTTAAAGTATATTACTCAATATATTATTTAATTTGGCATTTGAAAGATGAAAAAAAAACAAAAAATTAAATTTTAATTGAAATTAGAAAACAAATTCAATTATGATTAGTTTGATGACTTAATTAGAACATTTTGAAGTTTATGAACAAATTTTAAAATTAAAAACAATTTAGGTAGGTATTGCATAGGGCCATTTTCCTCACTCGGCAATGGCTGACGTGTCCAAATGCCACGAGGCATCTAACTACTGGGTATATGTCTCACAGACCACCTGTCTCTCGTCCACACTCAACCAGAACTCTCCTTGGGCTAAAACCCTTCTTTCGGTCTCAAACCTTGAGAGGTGTTTGGTTCAAGGATTATGGGATTCCCATGGGATGAGAATCTTACATTCCCATATTTGGTTGGCCGAGAATCTCATTTCTGGTAATGTTTTATTACCAATAGTAGATTTTTTGGGGTATATTATCGGGAATGTCATTACCTCTCTTCCCTTAGGTATTGTAACATTACCGGCGTTTTGGACTAAAATGCCCTTAAATTTTTATTTTTTTTTAAAAATATCATTCTTCTGTCATTGAATAATAAAAATTATACGAAAGTTAAATTACAAATTTATCCTTAAATTATTTTAGATTTACAAAAAAAAATCTATAATTAAAATTTTATATGAAATTCAGGGGTTAAAAAAAAATTTATCCTTTCATTAAACATTTTTTATATTTTTAATTTTATAAAAAAAATTTATATAAATATTATGAATTTAATTTTTTAAAGAAAATATATAAATATTTTACAATTTGTAATATTATACAAATATATAATAAAGATAATTTGGTCAAATATACATTTCAATAATCTTTTATTCCTTTAACCAAACACGATAATCTTACATTTCTGCTAAATCAACCAAACACAAAATATAACATTCATAATAATTATATTCTCTGATAATCTTTTATTCTCACTGATAATCTTACATTCCGTGAACCAAACGCACCCTCAATATCTTATTCTTATGTATGGGTTTCGGCATTGGTCCCGAAAAACACTGACAAAATACCAAATAAAAGGTTAATTTTTTAAGAAAGAAGGGGCAAAATACGCGACGGCTAATTCAAACCCTCGATGCAATTTGCGTTGCCATCACTGCGCCGGCCCTCTTTCCAAAGAGATGGTAATAATCTTCACTTACATATCAATTTTCCTTTCTTTTTTTAGTGATTGTTGTGTTGAGTTTAATTTTTTTAATGGTGCAGGAAACAAGTGAATGGACTGTTGCTCCACTTGTCAGGGACAGCTTTTCTATGGTAAAATTTATCACATTCTTTTCTTTCATTGTTGTTTTTGCTTTTTTTTTTTAAAACTTTTTTATATGTTATAACTTGGGTCTTTGTATATATATGTTGTCAGTTCAATAGAACTGGGCAGTGGGCATTTTGTTCTTGTAGTTTTCGCTTCGATAGATTCATACTTTGGAAGGTGGTTTAGTTAGTGTATTTGTTGTTGTTTTAGATTGGCTCTGCGGTTGGCGGGACTACGAGTGCCTTCTACGGGTTCAATCATGGTATAATGATATGTTTCTCCTTTTTTTTTCACTTGTTAGATGTAGTTCAGTTAATATGACTTGATTATGTTGCTGTAAGCCTGTAACTCGTGTTTTTATGCATTTCTCATGGCTTCTTCAATGGATTAACTTTCTACAATGCGTACTTTAAACTTTTTCCATCTTATATAAAGTACTTCCTTTTAGGGGACAATAGTTTCCATGTTGATTTAGAAGAGTCAACTTCCAAATAAGTCTTTGCTTATGCATCTTTTTGTTCAAGTTTAAATTTCCAGCAGAATTCAGTCTTTTCCTAGTGCCTGCAACTAGGAGTAAAAGTGTGAAGCTCTGTGATGCTTAAAGTTCCAATTTCTGATTCTATTCAAGGACATATATATAAAAAAGTATCATTTGTTCTACCTTTGGAATATGAATCATGAAACTTAATTCTCTTGGCATATTGCTATTAGCCTATTATCTTTTTATGCATTTTACTACGCATAGTTTTTTTTTTCTTTTGATGACCTACTCGATAACCCTTTCTCGTCATAAGAAAAGTTATTTTTCCGATGGCCCATATGGAAAGGGCATAGTTTAGATTGTATTTCTATTTATTTTTTTTTTGTTTTGGTGCAGTAATGCCAAAAGTCAGGAGGTGGGTTAAGGGACCCATGTGGTTGCATTTTCTAATTGGTGTAAGTTCTTTAAAGGCCAAATCTCTTGGTTTTTCAATGTACAGTTTTTAGTTGTTTTTCAAGCCGAGGTTGTTCCATGGTCTCTAAAGTGTTACTCATTTGGTGTGCTCACTATAAGCTGCTGTTCCGTATTTGAACTTGTGGCCTGCAAATTGGTTTCACTTTGCTGCATTTTATACTCCTTCCGTCTATTAACTGATAAGATATAAACTATCCTTGTTTAGTTGCTGCTCCTTGTTTATAATCTGTGTTCTCGGACTCGGATATGAATGTTAGACACGGGTATTGTCTCTGAAGATACTCATTTTTTCATTTAAATATTATTATTATTATTATTATTATTATTATAATTATTATAATTATAATTACTAATTTTATTACTAATATTATTATTAATTATTATTACAAACGGGCCAAATCCGGCCCAACCCAAAAGCCCAAATATATAACCCTAAACCCATTTAGGGTTTGTATCTAGCTCCCAGCCGCCGCTTCCAGAAGGCTCAAGCTGCCTCTCCAGCTTCCAGACGCTGCTGCCGACGCCTCCACTGCCAGATGGTCCAACCAGTCGCTGCCGACGCTGCTTTTGCCACGCCACCTCACCGCCGTAAATTCCAGAACACCAGATGGCAGCCCAAATCGAGCTCCATGGTGAGTCACCAGCATAGCTATGGTGACTCACCTAGACATCCCTCTCGGGACCGGTCCAAACAGAACCTCGTGGTGGCTATAAAAGCCACCATACCTGCGAAAGAACAGACGGCCACGGAGAGACACGGCAGAGAACGACAACAAAAAAAAAAGAAAAAAAATAATAACAACCCTCAGCAGCAAACAAAACAGAAAGAAAGAAAAGAGAAAGAACTTACCGAGGAAACCACAAGGTGACCGGAGACGCTACGTACCGAGGAAACATTCGAAATACCCGAAGGTATTTCTCTAGATCTGCTCCGATCCAGAGCTTTTTAGGGCAAACCAAGGCCAGATTCGGCCTTGGGAGGATCGGGTCTTTATTTTAGGTCTTTAGGAAAAATCCGGCCACCGCGTGTGGTAGCCGGCGGTGGAGACCAACACCGGAGTACGGTGTCCGGCGACGGCCGGAAACTCTCTCGGTTAGAGAGAGGCGAGAGAGTTTTATAAACTCTCTCGGTTAGAGAGAGACGAAGAAGAGAGAATGAGGGATGCTGGCCCTACGGGCCAGCCATTTGATCATATATACCCCTTCCAAACGACGCCGTTTTGGGCAGGGGTATATCTGTAATTTCGCACACGGGTCAAACCTCTCGCGTAGTCATCCTAGATTTGTAAATTTCTATTTTTGTCACTAAAGTCAATTCTTATATGTTTTAATTAAGTCTCGTAATTTTATTTTATTTCATTTTAGTCCTAGCCTGTATATTTAAATATTTAGGATATAATATATTCAGTCCCTTAATTTTAATAAATAATATTTTAATACTGAGTTTATATTTTTAATTTATTTTAATCTGATATTCGAATTTTAAATAAGTTTATTTTAGTCACTAAATAAATAAAATAAAAAAATAGCATGTTTAATCCCTAATATTTTGATTAATTATGAATTAGATTTTTTTAATTTTACTTTTACTATATTTTAGTCACTAATTCTAAATGTTTTCATCTATTTTATTATTTTTAAATATATCATTTTAATTGTATTTTATTGTTTTATTTGTCTATATATTTAAATACTTTTATTATTATATAGTTATAAATATATATAATAATTATTTATATATATTTAATAAATTATTTTGATATTTTTTTATTATCGAAGAAAAGGACAGTCTTAATACAACTGGATGTCCTATTCTGGTATTTTAAATTAAACAATAGTATTTAAATTAATATTTATCAATATCAAAGAAAAGAGCTGTCTTAAGGCACCTAGAAGTTCTTTTCGGATATTTTTAAATAAATAAATATTTTTTTATAATTTTGAAATAATAGAATTATAAATTAAATATATTTTTGAATTTTTAAAATTTTAATAATAGAGACAATTTATAATTAAAAAGTACCAATTTTGGGCGTTGTAGGGGTGCTAATCCTTCCCTAAACGTAACCGACCACGAATCCCTTTTTATTATTAAAAAGAACGAATTTTTGGTTAAAACGCAGATCAGTTTATCTTTTAATTGATGTTTTCTTAAAAACTCTTTTAAAAGATATTTTTTAGGTATTCGACCTACCTGACCCAAAAGGCCGATGGCGACTCCTAAATTATTTCCAAAACCATTTATTCACATCAATTTCACCGCCAAGTAAATATTTCGTGCCCGGACCAAAACAGGTTACGACAGCTTGGCGACTCTGCTGGGGACCGGTCAAACTTTTAAAAATCAATTATAAATTGTCTCTAGTATTAAAATTAAAAATTCAAAAATATTTAATTTTTTCTTTCAAATTTTTTATTTATTTATTATTTTTATAATATTTATATGTTTTATTTTATTTGCAAGTATTTTTATTTCATTATTTATTTTTTTCTGTTAAGAAGTTTGAATATTTCTCCTCACACACAACACTTGCATTGCATAACATAAAGCTCTATAATTGAGCTTGTCCCTTTTAAGTGGGAGTGAAAGCGACGTCTTCGTGAGAATTTATTCTCCGTGTCAGACCTAGCAAGTAACTTTTGGGGTTCATATGCTCTATGTCTTCGTGAGAATTTATTCTCCGTGTTAGTCATAGAGAAATGTATCCCCTTGAATTGAACTCGATCCGTTTAAGTCTGTAATGGACTAGGATTGAGGGTTGACAGCCCAAGGGGGCACTAACAAGGATAATTCGAGTACCTTACTCCTAGAACTAAAACCCTACATGTAATAAAACTTAGAACTCCTCCTAATCTAAGACAGTACTGAACCTCTGTTCTTAGGTATACACAAAGGAGAAATAAAGCTTTAGCTTTTATTTTATTATTTTATGAATAAATGCCTGCGAATTAAAAATCATGCGGTTAGGTTAATTTTTCCAAACAAAGCATGGAACTAGAAAGCATGAGGTTAGGATTTATTATATACCATGATAAATAAATTTTTCTTTCAATTATTTGGTATTAACCATTTTATTTTTTCTTATTTCCCATGTATGTTATTTTGCTCTAATTTGTTTAAATTATTTTCTTTTGTTTGCATTACATGATCATGACCAAAAGGTGTTAACTGAAAAGACTGCTCATCAAATTAGAAAGAAATCATAAATGAACAAAAAGTTCTATGATCAAACAAAATATGATGCGGCCAAGAAAAGACATCCTGAGGGAACTTTGAAGATAAAGAAGAGCTATTCACCCAAAGATTGTATGCCCATTGAAGAGCAAAAGGAAATACGAGAAATAAGAGAGCAGATGACCAAGATGATGGATAGAATATCTGTTTTGGCCAAAGGAAAAGAGATTCCAGCACAGAAAGAGGGAGAGCTCAATGAATCTAACTCTGCAGTTTCAGATACGCAAGGGATTTTGATTCCTAACCAATTAGAGAAATTACAGACAGTCATCATTCGTATTCACAAATCGTATGGAGATACCAAAGAAATGGTGACGACTGTACAAGCTCCCAGAGAAGAGAAGAAATCATGTAATCAGAAATCATCAAAGTTTGGTCTGCTCCCGACGTCTAAAACTCAGGTTCAATCCAAAACAAAAGGTGTTTCTCATGTTGATGCTGCACCTATATCATATAAAGATTTGTATGAAAAGTTACTTGAAGCACGAGAAATAGCTCCATATTACATAAAACCGTTCCAACCTCCGTATCCAAATTGGTATGACATCAACGTTCATTGCGAATATCATACCGGAGCTCAAGGACATACTATCGAAAATTGTCTTACCTTCAAACGCCGAGTCCAAAGTCTTTTGGATCATGGAACCTTAAAATTTATGGTAAATGATCGACCTGGTTTGGTAACCAAGGGTCCTGATAGATTAATACCAAAAATCTTCAAAGGTAAGAATATCAGTAGGGGCACCCAGAGAGAAGAAGATTTGCTGAGGTGTGAAGCTCAAATACGTCATTTGAAGATTGAAAACAATAAATTGTGCACCAAAATGGAAACCATACATGAAGACTTCCAGAAGGTCAGTCAAGCTTTTCAAAATGCTGGAATAGGAAACACCCCATAAGAGTGGATATCAGGGGTCACTAAACTGAAAAAGAGTTGCAGCATACATGAAGATCTTCTCCAAAAACTTTTTGAACACAAATGTTCTCTCGCAAAGGAAAATGATCAACTCCAAGAATTAACATAGGTGATGAAAGAACCCCAGAATGTCATGAAAGAAGCTGCAGTCCAGACAAGCAATATGGCCCATAAGCTGATAATCTAACTTAGTTTTAGAGAAGAAAATGGGAAAGTTATTCCCTATATGAAAAGTTTTGTTGAAGTTAGGATTAAAAGTTGTCCCCTACATGTAAAAGTTTTGTTTGATGTACTGAAGCTTTTGTGTTCAATGAAATCTGTTCTAAGATGATCACTCTTAAGTAACACATTTTCATACATGCATTTACATTTTGTATCTGTGCATTTTCATTTTGTATTTTTATATTTATGAATTGCACATTTTGCATTCTTATTTTTCTATTTATGCATTTTTCATATTTTTATTTAATTACTGTCATGTACTTTAATTATAAAAACATATAAATAATTCATGAAAGGTTTCTGTAACAGTAAAAACCAAGATCATTCATTTATTTTACTGTACCATCATCATGAAAACAATGGAGCAACCTTATGAAGGACTACAAAAACCATTGGCCAGAACCATTGACAGGGTTACCTCGGGATACAAGGAAAGAAGTTTCAGATTCAGTACCAGATGGATCAGATCAAATTATCCAAGGAATGGAATTTGATAAAGAAGATACAACTGTTATAGAGAAATCGTGCTATCAGATTGAAGAGTCGAGAAAGATAACATACCCTAGGGCATCCCACTCAAACCCAAAGAATAGCCTCATTAATTATTCACAATATGAGGATAAAGTCAAGAGGACAGAGAAAGCAATCAGAAACATGATAGTCTTGTTGGCCCAACAGTAGTCTGGTATAATCAGTTGACCCAAGAACAGATCAAGAAATGGGTAGATCTAGCTGATGCATTTTTGAGACAATATCGGTATGTTAAAGGCTTAGCTCCAACACGTATGGATCTTCGAAGAGTAAAGAAGAAAACCAATGAAAGATTTCAAGAATATGCCCTAAGATGGAGAGGAATAGCAGCACAAGTTCAACCTCCCATGTTAGAAGAAGAAATATCACGTATGTTTCGGGATTCTATTCCCACTCCTTTCTGCGAGTTAATGCAGGCAAATCCGACGAACGAATTCGAGAATCTTGTGACAAGTGGAGATTTAATTGAGAATGTAATCAATGAAGAAAACACAAAAGTCACATACAAGAGCCCAACAGATCAAAAAGCGAAAGCTGATAATGTGAATGTATGTCGCATCCAGAATCCCCGCAACTGCAAAAGAAAAAGAGTAAGTAACTGTTCGGATCGACCAAAGAAAGTCATGAGATCAAGAAAAACTTTAGAAGTGTTCCAAACTTCTATTTCAGACTTATACTCTCATTTGGTTAAAGGTCAGTACATCACACCAAGACCAACTAAAGTGACATCAAATCCTTCTGCTCATAGCTATGATCAAGATAGAGTTTGTAATTTTCACTTGGGGGTATCCGGGCATTCTACAGGCAATTGTAGGCCACTGTTAAAAGAAATTGAGATGCTTGTTGACAAAGGGGTTTTGACACAAGAAATAATCAAGAAATGGGGGGCAAATAAGGATGAGACTCCTGATCCTATTACATACCCAACATTAGAGGAATAATAAGGCATGGCAAAATAAATAAGTGGAAGTGTTATCTACCACTGTAGTACCTTTCTACTTTCAGCATCTTGTTTGAACTTGTTTTTTGTTCCTTTCTCCGCCTTTTGTATAATAAATAAATTTGTGTTGCTTTTATGGTTATGAGCAAAGAATCAAGTTTTAATCTTGAGATTATTGAGTATCAAGTAGATTAAATATTCTTTTAAATTTGCAAGAGTTATAGATCTATTGGCAAGTGATAAAATTATATCTTCAATATCCCATCCAATGCCAATTACTCGACCCTTACCAAAACCAAATCCTGACACTACATTTATCTGAGATTCTGAAGAAATGTCTCTATTTGTTTTTGAGACATCAACTCTAGATGTTCACCTTCTCGGATAGAGTTAATTGGTTTATGATATTACCCCTTCCACCATATACATAACTTTAAGAGTCACACATTTGTCCTTCCAAACACAAAACCATCATAAACTAAAAGACCTCAAAAGAACCAAACTTTCAACTATTCGTGAATATTACCGCAAGAAGAGACGAGATGAGGCATCATGGACCAACTCATTGATGATAATTTCAAGTGATTAGGGCATACTCAAAGAAGAAGGGGAAAGTGATTGATTGAAATAAATATATCAGGCATTAATTACATTTTTCATGTAAATAAAGTTAATCTTGAATATTCATCCCCCTGTGGATACCTCTTTTTACAAAGGTTTCTGTGTATGAGATGATGAACGGCATTGTTTCATTTATCCTTTAATATATATATATATATATCCTTTGTTGTCCCCATTTGAGCCTGAATAATGTTTCTTCTAATTCAACCCTAACCAAGGATCACCCTCTACATTAGGGGGCAAGGTAAAGGATATTGGCTCATAAGAATAAAGATTGTCAATACAGTTTTATTACGAAGACAAGTTTCCATGAAGTTATGAAAGTTTTGAACTACAAAGTATGTCAAATACAGAGTGCTTGAAGATCAATCCAATCAAGAATAATGGAAAACCTCCAAAATGCAAAAGGAAAAAGAGGTGCTCAAAGCAATTGAAGTATTATACTCATCCAGCAAAGAAAGAAGAAGAAGAAAAAAAAAAAGGGAAAATCGAATAAAGATGGGTGATTTATTGAGCCTCAAGTTACAAGGTTGATCAAGTACGAACAAGAAGAGCAAGAAATGCTGAAGATATGAGAAAATGGAAATGAATCCAAAATTTGGCACTCTAGAGGGATCCAGTTGATGGAAAATTCCTCAGCAAGGCAGATCCAAGTCAAACAAAACAAGATTGACGGCATCAGAATGAATTGATCCTTGGTTTGATGACCCTTAAACACTTATTTGGGCCTTTTTATCCATTTCTTTCGTAACCATAAGCCATGGCCTACGTTACGTACCTGAAAAGTCCATTCTAATCATACATGGGTTTCTAAGTAAAAGATGATATCTTTAGAATTCATTCCGCCTTCCAAGATTGATTTTTATTTGCAAAAATTAGTTTTTAAAATCTTTAATGCATGATATGAAAAATGATAAAGGTGGGTTCAAGATATAAATTTTTAAATAACATCTTGAAACCAAAGGAGGATTCGAGTTGAAAACCTGAAAAGGCGGCTCGAATATTGAATGGTGCAACAACGACATAAGAGACGATCTTAAGCTCTTAATAAAGCACCACACATCTCAAAAACGTTCCTGAGATTCTGGAAACGAGAAGCATCTCTACAAGATGAGCATAACAACCATTTCTTCAAGTTAGTGGAAGCCCGAAGCGACATACTGAACCAACTTGAAAGAACCTACTTTACCAAAATCAACCTACACCTCAAATCAGTCAATAATTTTGACACTTGCCATAGGACTATGATTTTTGAATGATTTAAAAGTGTAGTTGATTTATTTGATATTCATTAAACTCCTTGTTTATGATTCGATTATATTGTGAACCTGAAAGGGGTAATACTTTGCAAAATTCTTTCATTCTTCAATAAAGAAAGGAGAAAAAACATTTTCAAACAGTACAGTCTCAAATGAGGAAGGTCCTTAAAGCAATTGTTGCTTATTCTACCTCTGTTGTAGAAAAAGAATGAACGAAGCCAGAATAATGAAGCACTTCACATTTTTGAAGGCAAGTGGTCCAAGAAGCCAGAAAGTCTGGAGAATTGAACTTGTGACACTCTCCTATGACATTATTAGCAGCTCATCAAGAAAGATCGTTTATCTCATACTGAGGGCAATAAGGATCACCAGACAGATTATTTTCTCCAACCATCAATTCATGTTCTCTAGAAGATTACATTATAGAACCATGAGCAAGTCACTACCTGCACTCTGGTTATACCGTGATGCTGGCTCAAGTCTTGATACATCATTGCTACTTCTTCTATGCCGATCACTTTCTTTGTCAAGATGATACCCATTATGTCCTTCAGAAGATTGCTGAATTTGAATTTGAGGACTTAGGGCACAGAATAAGATATTGGAACAGATTCTACACTTGTATGCTGTACAGGATTCCAAAAGTTGAGATAACCAGTTTTACCATCAACTAAACCTTTCCATAGTTAAGGAAGAGTGAGATATGGCAGTGTGTATTTTGGAGCAGCAGAAGAGACAGCTGTCGTAGCAGTCATTACAAGAAAATGCACCAACAAAAATCTTCTAGTTAATCATGATGATGTTTATGCTTCCGGTAAGATTGTTACACGGGATGCTACCGACAACAAGGTCGAATCCGCCAAATCTATTCATCAATTGCTCCAACCGATCACCATTCAGTTCTTGCACCTCTGTTTTCAAAGATATACTAAGACAGTAGAAGGCGATCTTTGCAGCACTGATTCCAGCAAAAAGAAACAAGACATTGATATCACTGGGAAACATGTCTCTAAACAGATCCTTATGTATGGTTTTTAAGGAAACCTAGAAGTATTTCCACCTCATCAGGTTCAAGTGGAGCAACTTTATTCCTTCCAACCCATACTAGATTCCATTTTTAGCACTCATTAAGAACATACTTCTGGACACTCTAAGGTGGCTCATTGTCATAAGCTTCAAGAACCTTACAGATCCTTTCTGTTAATTTGGCACTTCCTGTACATATTTATAAACAGTTCAACTTTGTTTTTGGATTCCAAGAAGGCCATCATTTCTTTGTCAATGGAAAAGCATCAGCACATGGAGGAAGCAGAATAAGAGAAACTCTGTTCTTAATTGGCAGATTATGAATATAGCCTATTTTCAGTGTGACAGCATGAAAATGCTTCGAATCTACAAATTCTGGCTTTACATCGAATAAGTACTGTGATATCCCAGTCCAAACATTAAATGGAACAAATGAATGTGCTCATAGCATCTTCTGGAAGTGTTCTTTGAGTTATCTGATCTGGTTTGGCAAAACCGATCATTGAATATGGAACAAATGAATGTGCTCATAGCATCTTCTGGAAGTGTTCTTTGAGTTATCTGATCTGGTTTGGCAAAACCAATCATTGAATTTGGAAGATGAATGTGCTCATAGCATCTTCTGGAAGTGTTCTTTGAGTTATCTGATCTGGTTTGGCAAAACCAATCATTGAATTTAGAAGATGAATTTGTTCATAGCATCTTCTGGAAGTGTTCTTTGAGTTATCTAATCTGGTTGGACAGAACCAATCATTGAATTTGGAAGATGAATTTGCTCATAGTAGAAATAAGGAGACTCAATAGCATCTTCTGGAAGTGTTCTTTGAGTTATCTGATCTGATTCGGTAGGAACCCCAGAACCGATCATTGGAATTGAAAGATGAACTGCATGATCATCTTCATTAAGAAGCTTCTTTTCAAGCTTCCTCTGCTTCTTCCTTTTCCACAAATCATAACCCAAGTTTTGCCTTTGCTTGTAATTGGGATCATTACATAATGGTTTCCTATCTTCTACCATAAGAAGTGCATCAGTAACCCTAGACATTTGATCAGCACATATAAAATCTGTCAATTCTGCAATTGATGAATCTGAACCACATCTCTCCATGGTTATTGAAGCTTCAGCCTTTGAGAATCTCATTTTTGTCAAGTATAACAGTTTACTCTCCTCATCAGAATCAGAACTCATGATTTCCTCGATATCAGAAGAACTATCAATATCTGTGAAATCATCCTGAAAGATCGCTTCATAATCAGATGAATTATTATCAGAATCAACATGTTGCATGGGTATGGATTTTTATGAGCCTGTACCACTGTATATGTAGTCTTGCTATTGCATCAGATTACTGTTCGCATAAATTGGTTTCTCTCCCCACAGAAAAGTATATTTCAGAGATGGCTTTCACTGAAAGATGATAAGCCACTGTGTCAGCCTGGAACGGATTACCAAACTATTTTCACTGCTCTGTCTGACTAAATCCCTCCAGATACAGAAAAGGGTCACCTCATTCAGAAGATACATATTTCAGACGTTTCTGTCAGAATGATTGAATACTTCTTAGGTTTGTGACAACATGAAGAGATTTCAGTTACTTGATAACACTACTGTTTAGTGACACCAGAATGAGAGTATTCAAGATAAATAGATTTGGGACACGAATAAAGCTACAAGTACCTACAACAAATCAATGTCAAAATTGGACCTCGTGGGGATCATGACATTCCAGTCAAACAGAGATTGAGAGTGAATCAGATAAATCTAGAGGGACATCTTGAGGGCCCATTTCAACCAGAAATAGAATATTGGGGCATTTTGAAGGCTCACAGCAATATGAATATTTGGGCATTCTTGTAGGCTCATCTTAACAAGAAGCAATATTGGGACATTTTTAGAGCTCACTTCAGACAGATCCATGTGGTGTATTTTGAAGACTCATATTAACAAGAAGCAAATATTGGGGCATGCTAAAAACCCTTTTCAAACAGAATCAGAAATGTTGAAATATTCTGAATATTTATCAGCAAAATGTTGGGGCATGCTGAAAACTCATTTCAATCAGAATCAGAACTGTTGATGCATTTTGAACACTTGTATTAGCCAATGTGGGGCATGCTGAAGGCCTATATCATCCTGTGTCAAGATCATTGACTTGAAAAAATATTTCCAATGAGACAGAAAGGTGTGAAGAATGAAAATGGTAAAACAGTGACAGTCGAACTGACTATACATAATTGCTTCGTTCATCAGGCAGTTACATTATGATCATGTTGTTGAACAAATGTTACTCAGCAAGTATGTTTTCAAAAACCTAATATTCTTAACCGTATGACAGTGTGTTCTTTGATAAACTACATTACGGTTGCATGAATAAAGATGATCCCCAGGCAGACTACTCCATCCAGGGTTCAGTTCCTCAAGATCTCAGCATTGAATATGGCCTTCTGTGTGTCGGTGATAATTGGAAATATTTCTTTGAGATTCCTAGCAAATAGTTTCAACCATACTATTGAGATTATGAAGCTGTTTTTCACGTCAGTTTTTGCTTGCTTGATGACATTAAAAAGGGAGACTCGACTCTCACTTATATTACTGTTATTCCCGTTGTTATTGGGATCATCATTGCTAGCCAGGGTGAACTGGGTTTTCATCTATTTTGGTTTTATCATGGGTGTTTCATCCCCAGCAGCAAGAATTCCCTGGACCTTTTTTCTGTACGTGGATCCTATAGTTGATGTGTTTCTACTTCCTACAACGCTCATTATGGAAAAAAATGTGATCAGTATTATACTTTCCCTTGCCTGAGATAATATCAAGAGCAATTAGTATCTCCTATTCAATTCGACACCAGCACATTTTGTGAATTTGACCAACTTTTTTGGTCATACTAACATTTCTCTTGTATTCCCATTGAGTTTTGTTCTCAAGTGATCTTGTGACATTATACAAAAACTTTGAACACTAGGCAAAGAGCTTCAATGATTAAGACATCTGAGCAGAATACACAGAAAAGGATGAATGTGTTGTCAAATGTTTTACATCTGAGTAGAAACCACATGAGATGATGCATGTGTTGTCAAATGTTTTACGAACCAGTTATTCTGATGCTGAACCAATGTTGTGATCATATGGTTTCCATTTTTGATCCAAGATGAAGTCTGTCTTCTTCAACCCCAAGATTAGAAGTTGAGATATGATGAAGATTTCTTTCCACAGAAGGAGAGCTGAAATTTTAACAACAAGAAACTATTGGAGCCAACTAAGATCAAACAATAGGTTGTTGTTAAACATCTTTACATGATATGGTTTGAGTTGCTTTGTTCGAGATCCAATTAGATGTTGAGACATGAAAGGAATTGGAATAAATCCTCCTTGTGATATGTTTCAAGAGTCAAATCAGAACAGACTCTACTCTCTTAATTAATCCTTGCTGAGTCAGGCATATCTACATCTACACTCTTCAAAGATGGTAGATTCTCTTTTTAAAGATGACAAATTCTCTTTTCAAAGATGAAAACTTTATGTGATTTCTACACAAGTCCAAACAAATAAAGTTGGTTTTATCCAAGACAAAATGGGGCACTAAGGTCATAATTCTGACTACGACAAGAGTTCCACAAATAAAACAATTCTTCTGAGACAAAGAATACATAAAGATGCAAGTTGATCAGATAGTTCTTCAGAAATGCAAGCTTGATAGCATAAGTTGCTACACTGATATCCAGAGATGACCCTGGCAATAAATGATGAAGTGGAGGAAAACCGAGTTCACCATTTTGAAGTCAAATGAAGATTGCATCAACATTCATGCATCATATTTAGACATTTGCAAAATAGGAGCATTTTCATTCATTTTATCCATGTTGAATATTTGACAGGAATTTCAAAATTTTAGCAAAGATTCAAATCCATCATCTGATGGATTAACATTTCCAGAGAAAGTTCATAATGAGAAGAACTCATCTGAAGAAGGAAGAAGAAATTCATAATGAGAAGAATTTGTTCAACCTTTTGTTCAAATCCATCATCTGATGGATTATCATTGCCAGAGAAGGTTCATAATGAGAAGAACTCATCTGAAGAAGGAAGAAGAAATTCATAATGAGAAGAATTTGTTCAACCTTTTGTTCAAATCCATCATCTGATGGATTATCATTGCCAGAGAAGGTTCATAATGAGAAGAACTCATCTGAAGAAGGAAGAAGAAATTCATAATGAGAAGAATTTGTTCAACCTTTTGTTCAAATCCATCATCTGATGGATTATCATTGCCAGAGAAGGTTCATAATGAGAAGAACTCATCTGAAGAAGGAAGAAGAAATTCATAATGAGAAGAATTTGTTCAACCTTTTGTTCAAATCCATCATCTGATGGATTATCATTGCCAGAGAAGGTTCATAATGAGAAGAACTCATCTGAAGAAGGAAGAAGAAATTCATAATGAGAAGAATTTGTTCACCTTTTGTTCAAATCCATCATCTGATGGATTATCATTGCCAGAGAAGGTTCATAATGAGAAGAACTCATCTGAAGAAGGAAGAAGAAATTCATAATGAGAAGAATTTGTTCAACCTTTTGTTCAAATCCATCACCTGAGGGATCATCATTGCAGAGAAGTTCATAATGAGAAGAACTCATCTGAAGAAGGAAGAAGAAGTTCATAATAAGAAGAATTTGTTCAACCTTTTACCTGAATTCATCACTTGATGGATCATTTTTTCCAGAAAAAGTTCATAATGAGAAGAGAGAGGCCACCGCGTGTGGTAGCCGGCGGTGGAGACCAACACCGGAGTACGGTGTCCGGCGACGGCCGGAAACTCTCTCGGTTAGAGAGAGGCGAGAGAGTTTTATAAACTCTCTCGGTTAGAGAGAGACGAAGAAGAGAGAATGAGGGATGCTGGCCCTACGGGCCAGCCATTTGATCATATATACCCCTCCCAAACGACGCCGTTTTGGGCAGGGGTATATCTGTAATTTCGCACACGGGTCAAACCTCTCGCGTAGTCATCCTAGATTTGTAAATTTCTATTTTTGTCACTAAAGTCAATTCTTATATGTTTTAATTAAGTCTCGTAATTTTATTTTATTTCATTTTAGTCCTAGCCTGTATATTTAAATATTTAGGATAAATAATATATTCAGTCCCTTAATTTTAATAAATAATATTTTAATACTGAGTTTATATTTTTAATTTATTTTAATCTGATATTCGAATTTTAAATAAGTTTATTTTAGTCACTAAATAAATAAAATAAAAAATAGCATGTTTAATCCCTAATATTTTGATTAATTATGAATTAGATTTTTTTAATTTTACTTTTACTATATTTTAGTCACTAATTCTAAATGTTTTCATCTATTTTATTATTTTTAAATATATCATTTTAATTGTATTTTATTGTTTTATTTGTCTATATATTTAAATACTTTTATTATTATATAGTTATAAATATATATAATAATTATTTATATATATTTAATAAATTATTTTGATATTTTTTTTAATATCGAAGAAAAGGACAGTCTTAATACAACTGGATGTCCTATTCTGGTATTTTAAATTAAACAATAGTATTTAAATTAATATTTATCAATATCAAAGAAAAGAGCTGTCTTAAGGCACCTAGAAGTTCTTTTCGGATATTTTTAAATAAATAAATATTTTTTTATAATTTTGAAATAATAGAATTATAAATTAAATATATTTTTGAATTTTTAAAATTTTAATAATAAAGACAATTTATAATTAAAAAGTACCAATTTTGGGCGTTGTAGGGGTGCTAATCCTTCCCTAAACGTAACCGACCACGAATCCCTTTTTATTATTAAAAAGAACGAATTTTTGGTTAAAACGCAGATCAGTTTATCTTTTAATTGATGTTTTCTTAAAAACTCTTTTAAAAGATATTTTTTAGGTATTCGACCTACCTGACCCAAAAGGCCGATGGCGACTCCTAAATTATTTCCAAAACCATTTATTCACATCAATTTCACCGCCAAGTAAATATTTCGTGCCCGGACCAAAACCGGTTACGACAGTCTCACATGGGTATATTAAATCTTTTCAAGTTTTCCATACGTGTTGAGGGTCTTTAGAGAGTCATATCCTCGTATTCATGTTCGGACATGTGTACGGCACATTTATTCCAAAATGAAGTAAACCAGAGCAACAAATTTCCAAGTTTATGGGCGATTACTGTCCCTGCTGGTTGACTATTAACCTTCTGACCCCTCGCTCCGTAAACACCATTTAAGCTGAATATGTAGTGCACCCTGTGCTCGTAGTTTCGCCTGAATGGAATATTATAACTTACATAACTCTTCTCTATCTACATGCAGGCACCACCTGTGATTGTATTCTCTTCTGCGTGTGCAGTATTGGCAGGTTAGAAAGTATTTATTTCTTCAATGACTATCAATGTCTTTAACTATTTATGACTGAAATCAAATGATTTAAGACTTTTGACAAAGATTTTATGCACAAAAAAGAGGGTTTATTATTATTGTGTCTTTTATGGTTTGTCCAAGTTCCTTTAATATCATATTTATTTATGAATGTATCACCTTCAGTTGGCTGCCTAGCTAGTAAAATTAATTTTCTTAATTGAGATGTTAAAGATCGTCTTACATAACTGTGTTCTTGAATATATTTTCTGATGTTCTCTCAAAGTTCTCTAAAAATGTTTTATGTTGTCGGAACACTATGGTACTTAAACTGGTTTTTAAAAGGAAAAGGTCAAAACACTCTGATGTTTTTCCTTCACCTTAAATCCACTCTGCAAAAGAGGGATTTTTTTTAATACAAACCCCAATCTGTGAAGGATCATGTTGACTATCTGTCTGAATTTTATGAACTGCTTTCTGGATTTTGACAATCTGTGTTAACAACTTCGTTTTCGCCAAAGATGTTTTACAGCAGTTGATGTATCATTCTGGAATTCGCATTGGTAGTATGAATGAGTCATTTTATCAGAAGATAGGGATTATAACACCATCCTTGTGAAATCTTGCTTCATCAAAATTGTCTTTGGCTTGGACTTATGGCTGTTGTGCGACAACACTGACATTCTCTCTTGGAAAAAATCCTCAGGCGGTGCTGTTCCGGCCCTTGCTCAACTCGCTTCTTCCTCCTACCGTGCAGCATTCTCGTCCTCTTAATTGCCTCCGTCTTCACAGAAAGATACGATGCATTAGTCCAGGACTTCCTCTTCTTTGTAATTATGTACCGCATATAGCATGTTTTAACACGTGCGTTTACCTCTATTCTCCAAATAAACATGTGTAAAGGTTTGCCCGCGATGCTCAATTTCCTTGACATGTGATCATGCTTCAAGGCACAATATTTTGCCATTTTGGATCATTTTGTAATGTATATGTTTATGTTTATATTTCATCATTTTCTGCTTTTCATTATGTTTTATAAAATGAATCCATTGTCTGGGACAACCGTAAAAGATATCATAGAATAATAGTTTTTAATGAGGACGAAAAATATGTAAAAGAACTCTTAATTTGATGAAAAATATTATAAACTAACATAAAAGGATAATTATTTATTTCTAGTTAACAAATATCACCATATTATTAATGGACTAACTATTTAATATTATAGTTGAAATAAAAAAATTAATATTTTTGTAATTAATTTAAAATTGCATTATAAAATTGATAGATACACTAACTAGCAAGTAGTGTCCAAATGCTCCGTTGAACGGTTGAAGTCTTCAGCGCCTGCTTATTTCCTTATTTTCTTTATTCAAGATCAACTGAAAATGAAAAACTTTCACGTTAAATAGAGAATATTTTTTTCCATGCATTAACAAAATTTAATCTTTAATCCAATCCTCCGAAAATGAAAGTCACCCTTTCTTTGATCAATCTTTCTTTACTCTTCTTCTCCTTAATAGTTTCATCCCATGAATCATCTTCTTCTCTTCCTTCCAATTCCTTCCTTGGAATTCCTCCTCAAGGTATACACTCTTTTCTCAAAGTTTTGTTTGCCGAACATTCACCCTTTCTGGCTTATATATGTTTATAATTGAAACTGGGCTCTTTGTTTTTTCAATGAAAAAAATAGAAACAGATGAAGAATACTTCAAACGAGATATTATAGTGCGTAAGAACGGATCAGAGAAGTTCACCAAAACCCAACTCAATGATGATTTCTGTGACTGCCCAGACGGCACTGATGAGCCAGGTCCCACATTCTGTCTCTTGATTGCTTGATTTGCATTTTTTTCCTATTGTTTTTGGTATAAAGGGCTTGCTTAAGTAGAGAAATCAGGGCTCTTTTATTATTTTAGCCTCTCCTTTTTTCTGTTTTGATTTATTTCTAGTAATAATGGGCCATGTTGATAAGGAATTTGGATGTCTTATTTATTTATTTATTTATAAGTTACTAGTTTTTTCCTCTGTTATGTTGTTTCTTAAATTTCTTTATAATTTCTTAAAATGTTTGTTTCAGGAACATCAGCTTGTCCAGGAGGAAAAGTTTTATTGTAAGAATTGTAGACACTAAATTTTGTCCCGGTTTTATTTATATAATTTATATTATTATATTATTATTTATTATATATTTTATTATTAATATTATTATTAATATTATTATTATTACAAACAGACCCAGATTACACGACCCAATTACAAATCCCGGATGCCCACATCTGGAAGCCCAACCTAAACAGAAGCCAACTGGCCCAGCTAAACCCTAAACCCAATTTAGGGTTTATATCATCACCAGCAGCTGTAAGCTCCTCATGACCGTTGGATCTGACTTTGATCCAACGGTCCACAGAAAGGTTCCAGATGAAACCCTAGGGTATCATCACCCTAGGGCCACGTTTCCAGCCGCCTCTTCAACTACCACGCGGCGCCTCCTCTGCTGCCAAGCTTCCAGAAGATGCTGCCACGCCTCCACGTCTCGGCCAGCTGCCGCCCTCGTCGAAGACTCCACTGCTGCCACGACCCCTCTACACGTCAAAGCTATATGGTGAGTCACCATATAGTTTGGTGACTCACCGAAGGGCCTTTCTTGAGACCAGTCTGATGAGAGCCTCGGTGGTGGCTATAAAAGCCATCACCACCTATAAACAAGAAAAAAACGGAGAGCAAGAATAGAGAAAAGAAAAACAGAGACCAACTCACAACAACCAACAATCAAACCGAGAAGAGAGAAGGAAGAGCTTACCTTATCGAAGAACCCCAAGCGGCGCTTGAGAAACAGAAATACCGAAGGTATTTTCCTTAGATCTAGGAAGATCCATAGCTTTTTAGGATGAAAGAAGGGTGAAATCGGGTTTAGGGTACTCGAATTTAGAGTTTGGGGAAATTTTGGTATTCTCCGGCCACCAGTGATAGTGGCCGGCGGTGAGATTGGCGGTGGTGCAAGGCTGCCGACCGATTACCGACTCCCCTCCGATGAGGGAAGCTAGAGAGAGGCGAGAGAGAGTTTTATAACTCTCTCTGTTAGAGAGAAAAGAAGAAAGGAAGAAATGAGGAAGTTGGCCCTTGGGGCCGGCTTAAATGGGTATAAATACCCTCATCAAAACGACGCCGTTTTGGTAAGGGTATATACGTAATTTACACACATGGACAAACCCTTTCCGCAGCCATCATAACTTTGTAACTTTATATTTTGGTCACTAAATCAAATTTTAGATTTTTCTAATACGGCGCATGAATTTTATTTTCTTTATATTCTGGTCACTAATTTAATTATATGTAAAACAACCTAATTAGTTATTATGATTTTAATAATTTATATTTTAGTCATGAATAACATGTTTTAATTTCTTTCAATTTGATGTTCGAACTTTATATAATTTTATTTCAGTCCCTAAATAAAAAAATATTAAATATTACATATTTAGTCACTATAATATTAAATAATTATTTACTAATTAGATATTTAATTTTAATATATTCTAATTTAGTCATTAACTTTAAATTATTAGTTTTTATTATTTTTACTTTCATTTATTATAGTTATTATTTAAACTTTATATATATATATTTTAAAATATTATTATTATAAATATATATATATATATATATAAATAATATTTATTTATTTTATTATTATTTTTAAATCTTTTATATAAATTATTTTATTCTATTTTAATTAAAGAAAAGGGTTGTCTTAAAACACCTAGAAGTCCGTTTTCTGATATTTTATCCTACAAAATATATATTAATTTTTAAGAAATATTTTATTAATATTTATTTATTTTTTTAATATTAAGAAAGGAACTGTCTTAAAGCACCTAGAAGCTCTTTTATGATATTTCTAAATAAATAAATATCTTATTTATATAAATTAATATATTTTCTTAAAATTATAAATTTGAAATAATAATATTATGAATTAAATATATCTTTGAATTTTTTTTGCCAATAATAGAGATAATTTATAATTAATAAAGTACCAATTTTAGGCGTTATAGGGGTGCTAATCCTTCCCTAAACGTAACCGACCACAAATCCCTTTTTATTTCTAAAAAGAATGAATTTTTGGTTATACGCAGATCAGTTTATCTTTTAACTGATGTTTTCTTAAAAACTCTTTTAAAAGATAATTTTTAGGTATTCGACCTACCTGACTCAAAAGGCCGATGGCGACTCCCAAATTATTTTAAACCATTTATTCACATTATTTTCCCGCCGAGTAAAAAATTTGTGCCCGGGCAAAAACCGGTTACGACAGCTTGGCGACTCTGCTGGGGATACAATCTGGTCAAGCTTCAAAATCAATTATAAATTGTCTCTATTAATTAGAAATTAAAAATTCATATATTTAATTTTTAATTCTTTCTTTTCGAAATTTATATATATATTTATTATTTTCATAATATATATATATATATTATTTTATTAATATTTCATTTTATTTTCAAGTATTTTATTTCATTATTTAAGTTTCTGTCAGAGGTTTGAACTTTTCTCCTCACACACAACACTTGCATTGCATAAACATAATCTCTATAACTGAGATTTGTCCCTTTTAAGTGTGAGTGAAAGCGACGTCTTCGTGAGAATTTATTCTCCGTGTCAGACCTAGAAAGTAGCTTTCAGGATTCATATGCTCTATGTCTTCGTGAGAATTTATTCTCCGTGTCAGGCATAGAGAAGTGTATCCCCTCGAATTGAACTCGATCCACTTTAGTCTTGATGGACTAGGATAGAGGGTTAGCAACCCAAGGGGGCACTAACAAGGACAATTCGGGTACCTTTACTCCTAGAACTGAAACCCTGCATATAATAAACCCTAGCACTTCACCTGATCTAAGAAGTACTGAAACTCTATCCATAGGTGTACACAAAGGAGAAATAAGCTTTAGCTTTTAATTTATTATTTTTATCTCTGAATAAATGCATGCGAACTAGAAATCATGCGGTTAGGTTTATTTTTCCAAACAAAGCATGGAACTAAAAAGCATGAGGTTAGGATACATTATATACCTTGATAGATAGAATCTTTCTTGGTACTAACCAATTTATTTTTCATACATTTTGTTTTGCTCTAACTTGTTTATATTGATTTCTTTCGTCTGCATTGCATGATCATGGCATAACCAAAAGGTGTTGACTTGAAAGACTGTTCATCAAATTGGAAAGAAATCATAAATGGACAAAAAGTTTTATGATCGAACGAAATATGACTTGGTCAAGGAATGGCATCCCGAGGGAACTCCGAGGATAGAAGAGAGCTATGCACCCAAAGATTGTATGCCCATTGAAGAGCAGAAGGAGATACGACAAATAAGAGAGCAGATGTCCAAGATGATGGAAATAATATCTGTTTTGACCAAAGGAAAAGAGATTCCTGCACAAAAAGATATAGAGATCAATAAACATAATCTTGCAATTTCAGATATGCAAGGGACTTCTGGTCCTAATCAATTGGAGAAGTTACAGACAATCATCATTTATATTCACAAATCGTCTAGAGATACCCAGAAAATGATGACAACTGTAAAAGCTCCTAGAGAAGAGAAGAAATCATCGAAGTTTAGTATGCTCCCAGTATCTAAAAATTAGGTTTAATCCAAGATAAAAGGTGGTTGTCATCTTGATACTATCCCCATATCATATAAAGAGTTGTATGAGAAGCTACTTGAAGCACGAGAAGTGGATCCATATTATATAAAACCGTTCCAACCTCCGTATCCGAATTGGTATGACATCAACATTCATTGTGAATATCATGCCGGAGCTCAAGGGCATACCATTGAGAATTGTCTTGCCTTCAAACGTCGAGTCCAAAGTCTTTTGGATCATGGAACCTTACAATTTATGGTAAATGATCGACCTAGTTTGTAACCGAAGGTCCTGTTAGATTAATACCAAAAGTCTTCAAAGGTAATAACATCAGTAGGGACGTCCAGAAGGAAGAAGATTTGCTGAGGTTCGAAACTCAAATATGTCATTTGAATGATCAAAACGATAAATTGAGCACCAAAATGGAAAGCATACAGGAAGATTTCCAGAAGGTCAGTCAAGCCTTTCAAAATGCTGATATAGGAAACTCCCCAGAAGAGTGGATAACAGGGGTCACCAAACTGAAAAAGAACTGTAATATATATGAAGGTCGATCCAAGAAGTTTTATCATAATTCACGAGTTACAGAAGAAAGATGCAATACAACTGTCATGGAATCGAGAAAATATCAAGTCGACAATCAAAGGTTGAATAGTGCTATGACCAACATGGAAGCATCATATCAGATTCATCAGCTTGAGATCGATACTGAATTAAAAGCCACTATGGCCAAGAACAAAACATTGAAGAAATGTTTATATGATTATGGAGATCTTGTACGAGAACTTCTTGAACATAAAGAATCTCTCACAAGGAAAAATGAACAACATTGTTTACAACTTCAAGAGTTGACACAAATGATGAAGGAAAAAGACAATATCGTAAAGGAAGCTGCTGCTCAAGCAAACAATGTGGCTCATAAGCTGGTGGACTTAGCTGGCTTCACGAGAGAATTAAAGCAGATGGACAATTCCACATCTGAGTATGAGTGGAAGTTAGTTTGGCTTTTAAGGGAAATAGAGAAGTTAGGAGTGAAAGTTGTCCCCTACATGTAAAAAGTTTTGTTTGATGTACCGAAACTTTTGTGTTCAATGATATCTGTTCTAAGATGATCACTCTTGAGTAACACCTTTTCATACATGCATTTGCATTTCACATCTTTGCATTTTCATTTTGTATTCATACTTTTATGTATGCTTTTACATTGCACAGTTTGTATTCTTATTTTTACATTTATACATTTTTGCATTTACATTACATTTATTATTGTTATATACATTAATTATAAAAACATATAAATAATTCATGAAAGGTTTTTTGAAGTAAAACCAAGATCATTCATTCATATTACTTTACCATCATCATGAAAACAATGGAGCAATCTTATGAGGGACTACAAGATCAATGGCCAGAATAATTGACAGGGTTACCTCAAGATATAAGGAAAGAAACATCAGATTCAGT